AAATCAATGTGTGTGTGTCTGTTGATTAAGTGGTGTGTAGCTAAAAACATTCTCACAGACTTCTAGTAACATGTCATGACTTAAACATAAGAACATATTATGGCTAAGGCTACAGTTCTACACGTCATAATAATAATATTAAACACCCTGTCTGCTGACAGTCATCAACTCTTCTCTCTAGTTATCCTTGACCAGATGTACCCTGTAGAAACTCATAAGCATGACTAAGCATTTAACAGTCTAACTAGACATCCTATCTCCACTATACATTTCTAATACATGAAGTATCTATCCTATATCTATCTGACTAAAAATACCTAACAATTTATAACTGTTGTTTAAACAGCATTACCAAGAACACTGGTCACATGTAACCTGGGCACATAGCACATTTAGTTCATTTATAACTTAGATGCCTAAAGAATGTTTGACATGTCACTCAAAAACTGGGAAAGCCTCTGTAGTTTTATTCTGATCTTCCATGTTTGGAGCGCACATGACAGCTCTTAATCAATAAACCACTTTACTTCTACTTATTTCATTTTCACAAACTATCCCGCCTATAAACCTTAATCTAATCTGTTCCACTGCTGAGTGCAAGTGTGACGACATTTTAATTACACTTGGCACCGAGGTGACATTATACAGCAGGTAGTTTCTGCCAAGTAATCTCAAAGACATGGATGGTTGGTTAATGATCTGTGTTTTCTATTGACATGCTACCTTGAGGGAACACTTCCCTGACAGTACACAGGTGGCTTTAATCACAGTTTGGACATTGTGCTGCTGTAGTTTGTTCACATAATCAAGGCTTCACTCTGGGATGTTATTGCTGTAATGATCCTTTTATCTCCATCTCTTATCAAAACAGTCAGTCAGCCTAAAACACTGCTGCTGCTTTTGCTGACCTATTTGACTCATTTCCATTCCAGTGATGACACTTAGCTGCAGTTGTTGTTTGATCTCTGCTTAAACCTGCGCTCACTGATTTTTGTGGCCACATGGAGACAGCAGAAATGGAGCAACATGTGTTTATTGTCCACCTGATGACCGTCATCATGTGGTCCATTTCTGGTCTCTTCCAACACCTCGGGGAACCATGTGGCTCTTTAGCTGCTATAAGCTCCAGTACTGTATGTTCACCAGCACGTTACTATCTGTCATCTGTTGATGAGCAGAGAGTGTACCATTGATTTTTAGAGCTTTTCCACAACAGTAGCCACCTGCTTTGTGTGAAGATTACATTGTAAGAGTAGAGAGACTTGTCACGCTAAAGGTTTCAGGCTGACATGTTCAGACAGTCCTGATAGGAGCCGGTGAACATGCTGACCTTCTGTCTTCAGTTATTAGTGTGAACCCCCCAGCAGTCAGCTTAGTGGTGATATGACAGGCTGCTGTTTGCCCTGGGTTTCGCTGCTATAAGCTCCAGTACTGTATGTTCACCAGCACGTTACTATCTGTCATCTGTTGATGAGCAGAGAGTGTACCATTGATTTTTAGAGCTTTTCCACACCTGCTTTGTGTGAAGATTACATTGTAAGAGTAGAGAGACTGGACAACAGCGGTAAAGTTGTAGCTGGACAACTAATCAACGAGCTGACAAAGCTCTGTAAAGTAGAGAGGAGCTGCAAAAGTGTCTGTGAAACTCCTGTTATTTTGCTGTGTTACTAATGCTTTTAAAAATGTTAATTTGGTGTATTTTAACTTATTTCTGTGAGCATTTTTGGCTTGTGTTGTGAAAAACAGCTTCTTGGTTCCATCACTGACCTTAATGGTGACCTCGATGGTCTCTGAAGGTTTATCACACACAGACTGCGTCAGAGACTCCTCGGTGAACCTGGTGTACACCTCATGGACCACCTGCAGACCCAGACACAAACAACACGCGCTCATAACAATGTAACGTCCCAGCAGTCGTGTTTTTGCACACAACTAAAAGAGAAGACGTGAACACACACAAGGCACGTTTAACTGCACAGAAAGCTCCTAAATAGAGACACTGAAGGGGACAGTTGTGTGACAAAACAGACACAAGCTGCTATTTATTTGACTTCATAGTGGAGCTGGAGGTTGAGAGGAGCTGGAATCTTTCAAAAATGTCTGTTGCTGTGCAGGAAGGTACGTAAAGAGTGAAAAGTAAGAGAATAGGAGGAGAGGGAGGACCAAGATGGATGTGTTGAAGAAGAGGTAGAGCAAGCTGCAGGGAAAATGGGAGGAGAGAAAGAGACAGGTTTAAAAGAATGAAGGTAAGGAAAAGTGAGGGACATGGAAAGCAAGCCATGTAACATTTGAATACATTTTGGAGAAACAAAGTCATAAGACTGGGCCATTTTAGAAAAATAAGTTAAACTCCTGGTGTAAACGTTAGCCGTCTACAAAGTACAGTACTGGAAATGAAGTCAGAAACAACAACCTTGTTCTTATTGTGCAATAAAAGAGGCAAAACAGCAGTTCCCACATTAACCATTAGGTCTGAGCTATTAATCCACCTGCATGTTAAATGTTATGACTTCACTACATTACCATTTTTCCTCTGATGACAACGCTAACTAACCCTCCACAGCTAAACACTAGATAAAGGTGTGCTGTCACAGCAGCGTACCTGATGCGAGCAGCTACAGATTTGCACAAACCTGCCTGCTGGAGTACATTTTTTAAATAGTACAGATCACACTTCTCCACATTTTCTGCATCATACAAGGAGACGTGGTCATTAATCCTGGTCCAGGTCCTTCCTGCTGCTGTCAGGCTGCACAACCAGCGCTGCTCCCAGGAGACCCATGTGCAATCATATGTACATATTAGTTTTAATTTTATATTGATAATATCTTGTCTGTTACTTTTTCTGCTTTTACCACTGAGTGCCTTGTTTCTATTCCCCTGTGAATCTCTCCATTGTGGTTCATCTTACCTTATCTTAATGGACTGAGGCTGTAACTGAGCTCCTCTGCCTCACATTGTATTTTTTCCTACTCCCCTCAGTAATGTTTGTTACTACAGAGTATATTAAGAAAAAGGTTGTTGTCAACATTTTGTTTTCCACTATGGTACTCTGTAGGCACACAGGATTTACAGGCTGTCATCCCTGCAGCTGTGCTTTTCCCCAATGTGCAAACAGCAAACCTTTCATTGGTGCCTTATTTATACTGTGAAATCACACTGTAAACTGTGAGCTACATTATAAAGTGTTACCACATATTTCATTTCTAAACTCCATCTAAAACCATCATTTAAAAACATTGAACTAGCTGCCAAGACTGTGCATGTTAAATAAATACTATACATTGACTTCACATAGTTAAGGAGTCGAGCAGTGGAGATGTAGATCGAAAGTTAGATGGATGGAGGAAAAGGAGCAGGATGAGGAGGACAGTGAGGGAGTGAAACATGAAGACACACGATATGGGGCGCCGTTTGTAAAAATAGCACTTACACTAGTTTTCTCACATTTAGCTGAATGTGACAACAGGTTTTCTTACATTTAGCTAAATGTGACAAATCTAAATGTAAATGTTAAATGTTAAATTTTAAATGTAAATGTTAAATGTCTCGCCAAGTGTAAAACTGAATATTTAGTAGCTCCACAGCCTTGCCCTATTACAGCGCAGCACACAGCCCCACCCATGATGCTGAACTCGAATCAGTGATGCTGACTCAAAGACCTCAAACCCAGAGTCAGGTGTGGGC